AGAGATACGAGGCTGGAAAGAAAAAGTAGGACAACTCACGCCTTGTCCTGACTAGCGGCCCACAAGAACCACTTATGGCCATTCTTCCATGGACTAAACCACTCGCTCAGGCAAGGGACCTTCCCTCCTTTGATGCCCAAGAAGCGCAACCATCCTTCAGACCCAGGTGCAAGCCTTTCAAACTGTTCCTTTGGAGGAAAGTTGAACAACAAATCCGCCTGGATCAACGTCTTGCTCTTCTTGTGCAAAAACGCCACGTCCTTGTTGGCGAACCCACTGAAATAGCATGCGTCGATTTCATCTTCGTACCCAAACGGTGGCTTGCTATGTTCCTCTAGTCCATAAACGCCATGGAACGTCACCTCCCCGCGACGCTTAGGAACAAGAGGTGGAACGCCAATGACCTTGGCGTCAGGATATGATTTTGCCCATTGAGAAAGAAATAGTGAATGTTCGGCATCTGGAGCTACGAGGTATGCTACTCTTCCCCCAAAGAGTCCAGAGTTTGTTTGGTGAGTGGAGTGAGGGGTGTGGAAGCCAGAATCCAGAGGGAACCGTTCTGGAGGGTGACGATTGTCGAACGACCCCCAAAGGGGAACCAACCCCAGCGCCAGAAGGGTCTGTATTGAGATTAAAGATTAGATTGGTGTCAACCGTAGAAAAGTTCAGCGGGGGAAAGGATATATATGCGTGGGGACTTGCCTCGAGATAGTGTGGACTCCTTCGGTGACTTGTCGAACGACAATCTCGGCGTCAGCGTCAGCGGTCATACGAGGAAAGGATTTATCTTGGTGAGGGGAAGATAGGACTGAGGATAGAAAGAGAAGGGTGAAGTCGACGGGAGGATGACAGTATATATATATAAGTCAAATGAACTCTACGTAACCTAGTCTTGGAGCGAGCTCTCGGATGCGCAATAATCGCTTACGAACGCCAAGAGGTAGTACAGCGTCGCCTGACTAAGACTGAAACTCGTAACTCTCTCAATTCTCCACTAATTTTGCGCTTTGCGTAGGGTCTCCGGTTCAAGAGGGTGCGTCCGGTATGCTCCGAGTAACAACCATGACGCAATGGAACTCCGAGCCATCGCGGCTCACACGTGAAAAACGAGCCTGATTACGTTAGGCTTCAATCCAGTTGATCACGACGCTTGTTGGCTTGGGAACAACCCCAAATACACACGTGTCGCGAAAGCTACTGGAGTTTCCACCAGAATCAAAAAAAAAAAAAAAAAAAACAAGCAACAAAAGATTGGGACTGGCTTACTGCAATGGCTTTCCGGTATAACCGGCGGTTAGGAGATCAATTGCAATAGTGACATCAGCGCCAACGGGTCTGACACTTTTAATTTACGCGATACACCTCATATATCCGGATGCCAGCGGTCACAAGATCAGTCAATCATGTCTCGCAAGTCCCATAGCTCCGCCTTCTAGTTTCGCATCGGGCCCAGGGTCTGTACACGCGGGCACGTTGCGCGGGACAACAGGGTGGGATGTGGACACAGACAAGGCGTAATAGCCTATATCAATCCTAGTGGTGCTCAAACTGGTTTGGACTCCAGTTGCAAGTCTAAAATATTGTGGTTGGAGTGGGGGAGTATGGGGGAGTATGGGGAGTCAAGCTCGCCTTACACATGCTTCATACCGCTGGCAACGAACCGAATCATGTTGGCGTGTCTCCGATGGCTCACAAGATTATCTGCTGTTGTCAGGCATTCTTGCCAAATCTGTTCTCCTTCATCGATTTTGATGAACGCCACTCGTCACAATACGTGCTCCACACCAAGAACAGATAGATGGGATGGTGCCTCTACTGATGATGACGCCTCAAATAATGAATATCCAAGACATTTGACATTAAATCAACATGGCCACCCACACCTACATAATCTGGAGTTAGACAGTGGAAATGAGCAACGCTGGAACAGACCACGCGTTCCAAGTTGAAGTATCAACGAGCCGTTGTGGCCTGTTCTCAATGGATTAGCACACGGCGTCTCTTTCTCAGGACAAGCGCTCATCTTTCTTTTGGATCAAGCTTGAACTTGGGGCCATCACGCTTATAACCGATGAGAATTTTTCTCCGGAACTTCTTTTCTTCCCCTCGATCGCTCCGCGGGCGCAGATATTTCCATCTCCGCCTTTCAGTAGTATCAAAACCCACACGTCTGATGATCAGACCAAAAGAAAAAAAAAACAACAAGAACAGTCTGGGCGCCATTGATAATAACCCCTCTCTCTCTCTCGGGTCCCGGCTTCTATTCTAGGAGGGCTTGAGGCTGATCACCCGTTCCGCATTGATGGTGTCTGGCGATCTCAGCGGCCCGGATGACTGACCTGCGGAACCGAGTTGTGTGATCAGATCGCACGGCCAAAAAACCCCCAACACCATCTAAGCTCAGCGTGCGCATGCTCTGAAACGCTGCAAACGGCAACGTGCGAGGCATATTGAAAGAAATTTTTTTTTTTTGCAAAATTTCATCATGAAACCATGCGCGCACTCGTGTATGCGCGCGCGCTTGCTGCTTTAGTTTACGCAACCTTCTGCCAACTTCCTTAGCTTTCACGGTGGGGCAAGCCTCGTGAGTACCGCAGGTCCTGCTTCTGGGGGTTTCGCAAGCCGCGGTCAGTTATCAAACAGATTGTGCTGCAGACGACAAATGTCATGGCACAGTGGTGACGTTGAGGCCGATTCAAGCTCTTGTTCGTTACGGTTGTAGGAGGAACATGCCCGTCCACTGAATGTGACTCAACTCTGGTGAACTTGTCAGGACTCTGAGGGCGAACGGGTGGTCGATTTGCCTCTACTTGAGGGAGAACATAAGCAATGTGAGCAAACAGTCAAATCTGTTATGCTCAACTAGGTGGATCTTTGACTTGGTGGCCTAGCGTGTATATGTGTACGTCTTATTGTCCACGGAAACCATGTGGCACAGATCGGTTGTGGATCTGGAAGCGGGTGCAACTTAGAGGGAAGCACTCGTGTCAAATGCGTACTTGGGGATACAACCTTATTAGGTGGTCCGTGCTGCCGTGCAGGAAAAAGATTTCGATCGCCACATCACTGGTGATTCGTTTCAAAATAAATAAATAAATTCACGTCCCTGTGGGGAAACTGGCACGCTGTATCCTCGTGGCCGCCAGTAGCGTTTACATATTTTATCCGTATGGTTCGCCAATCGAAATTCCCTGCAAGCCCTCACTGGTTGTAGGTCGCGCGTAATGTCTGTCCCTTTCGGAGATTGCGGGAGTGTCGAAGTCTGTCCTTCTTGGCTCAACGATGAGCCTGGGGAATAATTTTTTTGGGTTAGGAAATAGATCCGTTCGTACCAGGTGGAGGTTCGCGCCGGCCAAGAGTATCCATGGTATGTGCATAACATGCTTGCTTAAGCCTTTGGTTGGTTCCAACAAAACTGAACGTGCTGTAAAGGTGGGGCGGATCGTTGGGCGGGTCGCGTCATTCTTTTCGAGTTCCAGGCCCCAACCTGTAGCAGAGGTACGCATCTCAAGCACATCTCAAATTCCAAGCTAGCAGGATAATTTTCGTGGTCGCAACTTCCTTAGCCCATTTCCATGCGACCGTGCGCCTCTCTCAAATATGTCTTTTGGTAGCATTTTTTTTCACTCATTAAACTCACCAGGCTCGATCGTAGCCGGACTCAAACTTTTTTTTCGGTGAGCCCATTTCAGGCATGAACCTGAGCCGATGATTCACAACAAATGTCCATTTTACACAGTCCAACCCTCCTATACCTCCCAGAGGGCGGAGATGAGACGGTGGCATGATCGCCACATGGATCTTAAGCCGTTCACAGCACAGTACACGCATGCGCACACATTCATTTGTTCTAACTTAACACTATTAATGATTATGACGGGCAGGATCCCACATTCAATCCCAGGTGTCCGGTGTGTGTGCACAGAAGAAAATTCACATCAATCACCTCTCCCGACCAGTCACTGGAACCCCCCCCGATTGAATAACTTCTGAAGCTCCCTCTAGATGTGGCATCAAGAACTCCGCCCGCCACGAACTTCATCCACATAACAGTACTTAGGCCAATCGTGAAGGGTCCCCGTCTGAGACTTTCCACCCGCAATGGACAAGCCACCATCCAGTGGATAGATTCCAGAAGCCTCTTCTGTTACGTGGACATGCTGGTTCAATTACGTGCGCTTCTCTGACGGTGCCAATCGTGCTTTGGTGTCCGGAGGTCTGGGTCATCACTTACAAAGAGAGTGAGTTGTGCCGAAGTGCCAGCTAACCGAGTTTCCTGGCACGCCAAGTCTCGTCCTCGTTCACAGACGACGTGAGCCTGGCCAGTCTTGCTCCCTTGATCTACTGTTGTCTCTGCCCCTCGTGAAATGCTGATCGAACGGTTCCATGGACTCCGGGCGCTTTTCGGGGAATAAGTGACCGCTAATACCTTGCTAGTGTAGGAAACCAGCGTACGACCATGAGTACCCTTCGTCCTATCAGCCTACCGCATGGAATGGCCCAGCCTGACACCTTCCTTCCGCCATCCGCCAAGTGGGATGCTGAGCACACTGCTCTGCTGCAGTGCCTTCCAAGAGGTGCGTTGGTTTGTGCTGCAAACGTTTAAGATTGGATCACGTAGAATTTGCATGGTAGGACCGACGAGGTAGAATCTGTAGCTAGTTTATTGCAGTATCTCAGACTCGAATGGTCTTGTCGTATCATACAGTTGTGGGGGTGGCTCCGTCCAGCTACGCAGTACCATAGGACCACAACATTAGCCATCAGCGTGAAGTACGATTATTTGAGCTGTTCGGATATGAATGTAGCCAGGCTCTGTGACACAAGGCGAGTCCCACCATGATAGGAAGCGAACACTATGGCATTCATATAGTTTGAGAGGCCACAGGGACATTTGGATTCCCCCAAAACCGTCGGCATTTTAAACGCGGATGAAGCCATGCAACTTGTGAACTGTCTGGAAAGATTGCTATCGCAGACACAGTCGGGAGCCCGCCACCAAGGCCCCGGTCCCAGTGCTCATTAAGCCAATTTCCATGACGTGGGCATGGTATGTCATTGGTCCATATTTTCTCCACGACTCGATTCTCCTATGCACAGGGTCCTGTATAACCCCCAAACCGAGGGTCCCTTATCCACCTCATACTTCACATCTCCCAAAAAACCCATGAGCACTCAAGATACAAGCTTTTTATACGTATTGACTTCTAACTGATCTACCTAGCTTTGTGGCCATACTCATTTCTTACCTCGGCCTTCAGCGTAATCTTTAACTATGCATACCTACACGGATTGGACTTTGCCTCTAACGGTCAATGACAAACGCTTGCGTTTGATACGGCATATTGCGAATGCCGACTGCTATGGCCCTGCACTCCTTAGTTGTATGTGATCATTTACCCGCTATCCATCTCCATCTCCTTCAACTCCACCACTCCCTTCTTTCTCCTTGCCACCGTACAACGCCTAAATCGAGATCAATTAGGTGCTCTTTTGTTCACTCACATCGTCGCCGATTCTCCCTGTGGCTTTGATCTTGACGCTGAATCTCCCGACCACGCTGTCGCGCGCTTCCCTTATCTGCTGCACAACTAAAAGTCCGTCGAACCAAACTTCTCTCCGCTGTTGCGTCCGCCGATCTCCGCAGCGCACGTCTTCGTCGGTTCGTAGCACAGTACAATTTGCCTGTTGAATCTGATGCGGAACTAGCATCGCAATCTGTCCCAACGCCTAACGTTCATGCTTACCAATAATTACAGCTCCAGTGTGCTGCACGTTGGCCTGAAAAAGCTCGCGTCGGGCGCGAAGACAGTGGTTCGGAAACAACACTACTCCCTAGTTTCCTCCCACCGGCTCTCCACTTCGGTCTGCGCAGCACGCAAGGCGAGAAAAGTAGCGGGTTGTGCCACTTCGGAGGAGTTCCCCAGTTATATATGGAAGATATACGGATGCATGCCGTCACAAATTCGACGCATCGATTGTGTTAATTTGAGACGCTAACAGAAGGAATGGAGGTTTGTCGAAGTGAGAGCGCAACAGGAATCACCACTGAAAGTGACATTGTTATGATATTATATGTACATTATCTTGTAAAAGACAAGGGCTTGGCCGGCCAGAGGACGATGATGATCGCTTTGCCCCGGGAACTGCCGGCGCAGGGAGTGCTCCTTACTCTGGCTTGACAGTCCTATCACATGGGCCCTGTAACGTCAGCACCAACAGAGGTAAAGGTGCAGTGAACGCAACGTCCAGATAGCTGTGACTATCCTGGGGTCCGAGTACTCCGAGACTGTAGGGCGAAACATCACGGAAACGACTATCTAGACAGTACCTTGGTATCGTGATGTGGACGCTAAACAGAATCACCATGGTAAGTGTAAGACGCCCAACAAGTCCCAGACCTTGGATTGGATTGCTATAGCTAGGGGAAATGGTGGTCCCTCGGTTGTGTGGACGGAATGAGGGGTTTACCAGCAGCTGGTCCCGTGGAATCGTCAAGAGGCTATGAGCTATGGCCGTGCCGGTTGCGCTTAGGGTAGAGGTGGAAGACGCACGGAGCTCTGTGTCTCGGGAGCAGTTTGAGGATGAGCCTCCTTAGCCCAAGTCCGATGATGATGCGAAGGACTAGATGGACTTGACACCCCAAAACATAGCATTCTGGATGATAAGCCAGTTGTGGTGTTGGATCTCCCGGAAGTGCGGTTTTCCAGACCCACGAACCTAATTCAAGTGGTGGGTGCTGTATCTACATCTATGAGGCTACCAGGACAAAACATCTAATGCCTGTCTAACTGTGTACAGCCTATTCCCTAAGTGTACATTTGACTACACCAGTGGTTGGGGACGAAACATTCGCCTAGTGTTCCCAAAATTTGGGGGTTTGTTCAGCCTCACGTTGGGTGGAAATTACGCGTGAACGGCAGGTAGTCTGCATCTTGCTTACGGTGTGCAACAGCACAACAAACTGGTGGTGCCAATCCGTTTAAATGTGGAACCTCACTAATATGTCGAAATCTCGGGCTGCGCCCCACGATAGTGTCACTCGGCATGGTCTACTGTTCAGACAAAACTTTGATCTGGCGATCACCTAAGTCGTGTGGTCAGATCGTGCTAACACCGCCCTGACGGCGGTCAGCGTGCGCATGGCAATGTGCCGATGGAAGCGTTCGGGGTGTAACGTTCAAAATTACTTGCAAAGTCACTTTCACAACCACAAACCGACTTCCCCACCCTGCATGTTCATATTGCTTAATTCTTCTTTAGGGCACAAGCAAGGTCAAGGCAGCGCAGTGGCTCTTCCAGTTGCAATGTCACTGGGAAACCGCTGTACACACATTTGGGATGCTTTGCTTTTCTGTTACTGTATCGATGAAATTTGATCTGGCGATCACCCAAATGTCAGGTCGCGCAATGAGAAACTAACAGTGTGCACATGGCAATGTGCCGTGACAATGACGGGAGCGTTCAGGGTGTTTTGTAATGTCACTAGGAAACCGCGTGCACTGTACACGCGGCGTGCTGGTATGTACGCGCACATTTGGAATTATTGCCGGCTCTGCTTTCGTGGCGATTCGAAACTGGCCAATAGATGAGGCCTCATTATAAACAACTGAGGAACATGCAGCCCTGCATCGGTAGAGCTTACCAATCTGCACAGTGGCTTCTGCATGCAGTTTCCCGAATTCATCAGAAATAATTCAACTTCTGTGACTCAGAGGGCGACCTGGTCCGAAGCAGAATGATCTGTCGCACTCAGGCCTGGCGTTTGAATGCCATGGCGGTGCAGCAGATGTTCAGTAGCAGCTCTTCTGTATGTAGTAAATCTGTGACAAAAAAAAATGATTTGATGTTGCCAGCGGCCAGGCAGGCTCCCTGCGCGATTCAATGCTAGCTAGACCATGCCCAGCACAGGTGCAACAATGGAAACGCGCAACTTGAGGCCACAAAGGACAACGGTTCTGTTAGGTGAACATACCAAGGCTGCATGCAACATAACTGAACTCGAAATTCAACAACAATTGCATATATATATAACAGATCCTTGCCGACGTTCCACTGAGCAGAGTGCCGGAATGAAGATTTACGATGTTTATTTAAAAATACTTTTAATTTAACCCCAGTAGCTCTCGCTTTACAACGTCTAAGACTCTCAAATATGGGATTGCGCACGCGCACACCATAATGGAAAATTAATTTGAAAAAAACCTGTTTCGCCGGAGAACGACACGTTTTCTCCTCGTGTCCGAATGGAATTCCCATATTACACAGGGGCCCACCAACCCAAAATACCCTCAAGCCCCAACTGGTTGTAGGCTACGCATAATGGGTCTTTGTATGAGTGCAAGGGAGCTTGACGACAATGATATGCCTCTTTCACAATCCATCGACATTTTTGTTCCAGGTGGAGGCCGTTTTGAGCAAGAGCCAAAAGGAAATAACGGACCCTGGTGCGTCATATCAATCGGCTGGTCCGTATGACACTGATTTTCGAGGAGCCGGATTATTCAACGGCATCTTCGGCGCGTGCTCTCCCGTCGTCACCCAAAACCAGAGCCTCAACCGGCCAACCCATCTCCTAGTGGTAGGGTACGCGCCCAGGCGAACCTTAAATCCCTCAGCTGAACGAATGTTTTCTAGGTGCCATTCCCCCAGCCCATTACCGAACAATCCGCGTACGCCCACAGACACATATTTCGGAGACATCCTTCACTCATTTGATTCGTTAGGCATGAACGGGGCCGATACCAGAGTCTCGCTACCTTTTTGGTCCATCGGTGGGTTAATCCGGGTTGTTCGTTTCAGAGAACCGAGCCACTGATCCACCGTGTGGATATTCACAGTCCGGGATCGGGTCCCAGAGGGCGGTACAAGACACTGTGATCCCGACATGGCGCAAGCGCACATGTTTTCATTGGGAATTTTCGCAGTTTAGTCGTTGACGACGAAACAAAGATACATTCGTTCCCCCTTGCTACCAAGCCGACCTCGAAACATTCCTGTGTTCCGACACTTCTTATGCCCACCCGTGAAGGACCATCCGCCAACCTTTTCCGTCGGGCATTCCCATGGGACAACCCGCAGGAAGGAATAGCCCATTTCTCCACCGCTGCCTTTTATCAATTCGAGCAAGCGCAGGCCGACGCTTGACTCGGTTTGCAGGCTGGATAGTTCGATGTGGATGCGCAGAGCGGATCACATCAGCAGAGGCATGGACCGACTCTTGAACAGCCGCCAAGGAGAACTCTAAGTTGCGCACTAAAGAGGGCTGGAATGCACCCCCTCATTATCGCATTCTCCACCCTTTGCGATTATGACTCTTTCATGTCCTGCCTGCGAATCGCCTGTCTGTTCTTCATTCTGCTTATTACTTAATGTTGTCGCCCCTTGCCTAGGTCACGGGTTAATATATATATATATGCGTGGGACTTGCGAATTCATTCAAATTGTCTTATTGCCTTGAGATGGCCCTTGTCCACAGCCGCGGCGTCAGTCACCGTGAGGCGAAGTGAAGATAAGGATAAGTGTGTGGGACTGCTGATTAGCGTGGGAGAAGATGAAGAGTCTCAGGCTCGACCGAACGAATGGGGAGGAGCCCTCAACTTGAACTTGCCTCATGGATAATGGCAGTATCTATACAGGTTGGCAATGCCAATTGCAGCCTAGCCTAGCCTTGGGCGATGCGTAATAATCGCTTACGGAGACTAGTGCAGCGTCGTCTCATTAACACTGAAACCCGTAACTCGCTCAATTTTCTCCCTCTCACTTGCGTGGCGTCGCCGGTAAACGAGCAAGGACAAGACGTTTCACGGTACTATGTAGTGCTTCTAACTGCATTGCAGCTCACAGCTGGAAACGAGCCCAGGCTTCAATACAGCTAATTAGGCTCTCGTGAGCTGAAAGATTGGGGACACTTGCTCCCAGCACAAACCCCAAATACACATGTATTGGTGGCTAGGACTAGATCAATTGCAATATTAAGGATGTTTCGGTACTGACTTCAGCGCCATGTCACCGCGTCTGATACTTTGATTTACGCGATCACCAGATGGGGGCGCGGGCACATCGCGCGGGACAAGACGGCAAGACGTGGAGAGTCGGATCTCAGCTTCTATTCTAGGCCGGTTGGCAGTCCGGTGTTTGGCAGTCCGGACCGTAGGTGGCACGTGCGAAACCAACACAGCTAGCCAAAACTCCAATACCATCCGAGCTCAGTGTGCGCACCAAGTGGAGCGCTGAACAACAGCAGAGACATGATCGTGCAAGGCGTATTGCCCCAGAAGTTTTGCAATTTTTTATCATGAAACCGTGCGCGCACACGTGCACATGCGCGCTTGCGCCGCTTCGGTTTGCGCGCGCGTTTGCGATCTTTCTGCCAACTTCTTAGCTAGCTTTCATGCCAGCCTCATGAGTACCGCGGGCTCTGCTTCCTAGGGTTCCTGGGTTTTGCAAGCTGCGGTGAATTGATCGTCAAAAGATTATACTTGCAGATGAGCCAAAAGCACTGGGTGACTTGGTATAGGGCAGAAGAGTCAAGCTCTCGTTTCGCTGTGACTATTCCCGGGGAGGAATATGCCCGTCCACTGAATGTGACTTTGAGGCAGAGGACGTCTACATCGACTATAAGCACCGTGCGACCCACATCGGCTGCCTAGCCGGATTTGGTGCTGTCACCGGTGAACTTATCAGGAATCTGACTTCTTTATATGAGGATGAACTGGTGGTCGGTTTGTCTCCGCTGTGGGGAGGACCCCGGCCATGTGAGTAAATAGTTAAAATCTGTTATGTTCAGTCTTTGATTTGGTGGTGTAGTGTAGTGCAGTATGGATATGTGTGCGTCTTATCGCCCATAAAAACCACGGAGAAGGATATTGCATCAGTTGTTGGATCTAGGAGCGTGTGACCGCTAATGTTAAGCGCACCGGTTGGGGATAAGAGGGTGGGCGACTTTATTAGGCAGAATGTGGCAGGAACACGGACGGTTTCGATCGGCACATTGGTGAATCACTGATGATTCGTCCTAAAGTGAAATCCTGCTCCTGTGGGGAAGCAAGCATGCTTTTCTCCTCGTGGTCGTTCATATATTATCTGCGTGGCTCGCCTTTTGAAAATCCTCATTATATTAGCCCTCACTGGTTGTAGG